GGTATGTTTACAGAGACATGTTTTGTTAACGATTATTATAAATTAAGATTTGCATACCATGAACGGAACAAAGATGAACTAAATTGAACTGATATCCTGTGCATTTTGCTTGTCAATCACAAAAGCAATATATTTATTGACATTTAGAAGACAATGAACTTAGACCTTTAGACTTCCAGAAGCTAGACCAGGTGTCTAAACTACGGCCCGGGGGCCAAATGTGGCCCGCGGGACATTTTGAATCGGCCCTCAGCAGATTCAAAAATGTATAATGACTTAAGTAAAATAAGCTTCTGCTTGTCTTATATTGTACTTCTTAAATACATGTTCAAATATATCACACAGTATTCATGTGTTGATAAGCCCAATTTTCAAATAAATTCACTCAATTAAAGTTAAAAACATGTTCTAACAAATCTAAGTTGATAATAAAAAAGCCCAATAACAAATTCACATAACAACCTTGAAATAGACCGTTCATATTTCCTCTTATTATAATCAATCTGGAGCTTCTGTTTTAAGGAATGAGCTGCTAACAAGATAAATGAAACCCTCTGGAGAGCTGGGAGCTGTTTTTTTCTTAAAGCATTTTTAAGTATCAAGAATAATTCACTTATATTGGATTGATTTTTCCAACTTATAACTGAACTTAAGAGGCGAAATACCTCTAGTGAGTGTATATTTTTCTGTATGTGGCCCTCGGAGAAAAAGGTTTGGACACCCCTGGTCTAGACTGATGCCCCACCTGTATTTTCCTCGTCCGGTGAGCACCATCATGACGCGTTTCCAGTTGGTACAGGCCACCTTGGGGACGTAGCAGTAGATGAGCTCGTGGTCCTCGTCCACCACGAGGTGTTTGAGGTCTGCGGGAGTCAGGACTCTTCGCTTACGGCTGGACGCGCTGTAGGCTCGACAGGAATCAACGACCTGGTCCCTCCGAGTCTGGTGCAGGACGGCGGCTCCAGACAACTCCGGCTGTTTAGGGAGATAGAGGAGAAGAAAGCGGGAGGATGTAAACAAAATGCTTTCAGTAAGTGTCTAGATTTTAGATATTAGTTGTGGCCTTGAAGCTTGTACCAAACAAATCAGCTTGTTGGGCGGTTGACTAATACATCGGAAACAAGGGATTTTGGTTGGTGTTGTCAAAGTTATCCAGGTTTGGGGTGACGTGTCTTGCCCAGGGACACAACGACATGCTGAATGCAGAGGGGTTTGAACCTGGCTCTATCCACTGTGCCACACTCTATCCGATAATAATCCAATGCAGAGGCAATAATGTAATATAATACATTATTTTATATATTTATATCGTCTTAAAGTTACAACCGGCCCTTTGAGTGCAACCATAATGCTAATGTGGCCCGCGATGAAATTGAGTTTGACACCCCTGATATACACACTATAAAATATACAGAATACATTTAAATACTCGCTAATATACCAAAGGGTATAAAAGGACAGAAACTTAGTGTACCATGTGCATAATTCAAAATGATTGCTTGTTGGGTAGTCGGCAAATAAATCAAAAAATTGGGATTTAGGTTGGTGTTGGCATAATTATTAAAGTTTGTGCAAGAAATAAAAAGTTATACTCAAGAAATGCTTTAATGAACTGAAGAAATATGCAGTGGGTTGCATGGAATATATTTTTAAAATATATATATTATATCAAAGGGTAATGTTTTACTTCCAGATACATCCAAGAATATATTAAAAAAAAATCTGTCTTTCTTGCAATGTTGTTTTCTTTTTGCTATAACACCTGTTGTTGTTGTTGTTGTTGCTGTTGTTGTTATCCTACAAGACATCTTCCTCATGTATTCCCTTTCTATGTAATTTATTATTTTCATTTTATTTTGTCTGCTGGACAATAAAGCACTTCTCCTCTTCACACCCTTTTCCACAAGTTACTGTTAGAACTTTTATTTTATTCGTGGAGAGGACATCTCACTGCGCCAACAGAGCACTCTAAAACGAATGAAAGTGAACTAAAGCAGAGAGGGGGTGATAAAGAGAGTCATTAATCTCAGCATTTATTATCACACTCATCTCTTTTTGACTTTACCCGAGTCGCTCCACAGACTGTGATGGAGATGAGTCCAAAGGTACGGGGGGAAGATAAGGGAGAATATTACAGATATTAAACGTTCAATATGAGCAAATCCAGTCAGTCATTATTCATCTGTGATGCTTGTGATGAAGAGGAGGAAGCTGGGGAGGAATTTAAAAGCGTCTGAGAGCAGGAATGTTTTCTTACGCCTCTTGATTATTATTCCTCTGGGTGTGAATCCCGCTTCAGGGCAGTTCCCCCCGGATTCCTCGCTAAATATAAATTGATGGTACTGTGATCTCCATCTACCGCGCTTTCCCAGTCACAACAAGTGTGGCCTTTCACTTCTCCAACCTGTCGCGACGTCCTGAAATAACTCCAACCGAGCGCTTCACGTTTATGTGAACGTCTCTTTGAAGTCACTCTTTAAACAAAGTGGGCAATTCATCATCTGCACAGCCACGACTTGTTGCAAGAACACGGGGGGACATCAATCTTCTGCACATTTTTCGTCTGACGGAAACAGACAAAAGCAGTCATTAAGAGGTGATGTAGGAAATGCATGACTTGTTACTTCTAAATGAGCTGCTTTAGATATATGTGGTGATGCTGGTCACAAACTTCGAGGAAAAATCAATCGTGTGATTTTAGGAGGAAGAGTTTTCCCACTGGGAATTCACATTTCGAGAATAATTAACAAAGCCATTAGGGTTATTTCCTGAAACCTTTACTTGTGTTTAAAATAACATTTAACATCACACTTAACCCAGAGTTTCAGCTTCATCAAAGTGACGCGCCCAAAATATGTTTTTTTTTTCCATTCCTGTGCAAAACGGGTAACTTTTGTAAGACCTGATCCCATTACAGGTGTATATGCAGGAATCCTGAAGTCAAATGTAAGACCTTTTTAAGACCCTTTCCATACATTTTAAGACCTCATCGCCACTTGGAGTTCTAACCGGTTACATTGGCGACACACTTTACCTCACATTGACTATAAACAGTATTTATTGTCCTTCCTCCTTATCTTCCAACCATTTGGACGCAGACTTGCATTTCCAGCGATGTTGATTAAAAACCGGCGTAAACGGAGCTTCGCGCGCTATCAAGCAGTGAGCGTGCGATGTCCTGTTCAGATGACTTCAAATCCAACGGGATGCCATAAATAAACTACACAGAACCACACTACACACCGATACGCAATGATTACATTCAGGCAGACTGTAGAATACAACCTCTTTGGACAATTTATATAGGTACTTATTGAAAACAAGCTACAAAATGTGATACCTTGGGAAATGCCGTTTAATACTTTTGAATAGCCTTCATTTTTGCTAAATTGATTTGTCAACTTGTAATACTTTTTAAGACCCCGCCGACACCCCCTGCATTACTAGATAAATAACTCCCTGCATATATGGATTTTGCTTCCAACAGAATACCCTGTGCACATTAAAATGTCAATCTTGTTCCCACAACATCATAACAACCCGTGCCCCTGATCTCCGCACTGCACGAAAACAACATGTGTGCGTCAGGAAAATATCCTTTTCCCACCAAAATACAACTCATGTACACATGTGGATCTTGCCCTCAGCACAGGATGATTTCTGCACGACATATCTTGCTCTGATAATTTATAATCTTGGCACAGCGGGATGTCAACTTGTGTGCACGCTATGTATGAATCTGGCAACAAAAAAAAGTTGGATCTTGTTTGCATCAGATTGTGCTCAAAATGTAATATCTTAATTCCTCATGATAGTAAATGATGACACAGTTTAATATCCTNTCATCCTCATTCCTCTTGTCAGATCCAGTGACCTGAATAATCCAGATTGCTCCCAGACATCCTCCGGTTTACCTCGGCCCCCTGCTGAGGATGTAACAACACCCTCCACCCCTTTACACCCCCAAACCTCCCACAAGCCATCAAGGACAAATAGCCAGAAAAGTCAAAATAACCAAGTACCAAATCATTCTAATTGAAAACCATGTTAATGAAACTATACGTCACATTCAAACCTCAGATTTCCAATGTTTTGGGTCTGGATTTGCTTTAGCCTTGCATTGAAAGGTGTTGTGTGTGTATATATACAGTATATATATATATATATATATAAACGTGCCTTGCCTTTCATGCAATAAAGAGATTTTAGACAGCTGAGCTAAAGCTAATTGCTAGTTCCTAACTAAAGCATTACCGTATTTCGGATAAACAGCCTCACTGTGAGGACGTGATGAGGCTGCTATTTAATTACTCGTTGATGCCACTTTGAATTGAGTTCAATTAACAAACTATAAAACTGATAACTAGAAGTGGTATTACAAGAACAGCTAGTCCGTTAGCATGCTAATTTCTTATCTCTGTTGCATAAGACGTCTTCAACACAGCAACATCTTCAGGTTGTGTTTATGATGTTATCTCCTTTTTTAATTTTCATAAACTTACATTTGAGCAAATATTACACATTGGGCCTTGAAAGAATCAGTTAATTTTTATTATACAAAAGTACTAATTTCTAGGGCTGTACCCGAATATTCGTTTGTTGTTTTTTCAAATTGAATTTATTGAAATATCCAATATCAACGTAAGAGCTTGTGCCTCTTCGGGGGGTGCTAACACTTAACCATAAACGTTATCGTTTACTTTCTCCGTCTTTAGATATTACTTTTCTCCGTTAATCTCCGTCACGTTGTTTCCATAGCAACAACAATTTCCAGTCAACAGCGCTACCTCTCCTTCAAAATAAAAGCATATCCATAAAAAATAGGAAGCCAAGCCAAATTACACTTAAGAAATAAACAAATGCAACGAAAGTAACAAACACAATGTGATATCCCTTTCAATTTCAAAGAACACAAATTGGGTTACATTAACAACCCAAATTGTTAAATGCTTTGACACGGGCCGAATATTCGGAGCCCGAAAAATGGTATTCGGGACAGCCCTACTAATTTCCCAGATGAATCACTTAAAACTGTAGATTTTCCACCAGGATTGACTTTTTAGGGTGACAGAAATTCAAAACTTCATTAATAAACTCTAAAGTGTTCTCTAAAAATAATAGTATGACACATGTTATAGCCCACAAATAAGTACAAATAAAGATATTGAATATAGAGAGATATGTAAAAAACCTTTTGGATCTACTTCTTGTGTTTTTCCACCATAAACGGAGCAAGGCTAGTTGTTTCCCAGTGCCTTTAACTTCCTTAATCCGTATTTAACTCATAGACATCTCAATCTGTGTTGAACTTTCCCTTTTTAAAGAGCCACATTGGATCAGTGGCGTATTCAGATAGTGAGGGCAGGAGTGTGAAGCAGGCGGACAGACGGGGCGCAGTGAGAGTCAATTTAATGTGAAGTTAAATCTGTTTGCAGGCTCTGTGGGAGTGCTGGTTACGCACCAATAAAATGTCACCAGGCGGACAGAGAGCCACAATGGATTGAAATAAGTGGCCTTCACCCTGAGGTGGTGGCTGTGTCTAATTTAATATACTCACACCACAGTAGCCGGCCTGGTTTAGAGGGACAAAGTCTGTGTGGTTTATTACACGGCCACTTCAGTGACTGGAAGAAACCGTGAACACAAGTTTACTAGGGGAGGGGGAAATAATCGATACAGCTTAGTATCGCGATACTTTGCGTGGCGATATTGTATCGATACACAGATGCCAAGTATTGATATTATTCAATTATATAATTATTCATATTGAAAATTCAAATTAGCTTATTGGCAAAGCTACCATCAAATTCTGAGCAAACTAATACAATAACTCAATCAATCTCCTACTTCATCAAAGTCAACTTTATTGTCGATCTCAAAATATGTTTGTACACAGAAAGAAAGATCAAAATACTGTTTCCCAGAGTCCTGAGGTATAAAAAAAAACACACATTAAAATACAAGAACACTCAATAATTACAAAAACACCCACAAAAAAAAAAACACTGGTGCTGGATACAGCGTCGTGGCTTTTGTCACATGTTAAAGACACTGGAACCCAATATATCATGCAATCATATATATCAATATATATGCGCAATATATCGTATCGTGGCTTAAGTATCGCGATAGTATCGTATCGTGGGGAGCCTGGTGATTCCCACCCCTACTGTTTACCCACTACACGGGAACCATTTGTATTATACATTATTTTTGTGATTTTTGAATTAAAGAAACGTCTCTTTTTCACAAGACATTCTCTGCTTTCTTCTGCTCCGCTGTGTGGCCGCCTGTCAGAGCGCTTGTAGTTGATATATGTCCCTTCTGCAGGGCTCGGTAACCACACTGTGGCTCACGGGATGAAACACACAGGAGGAAGTTATTCAATGTGTTGCTTGTTAAAGTGAAGGTGTGATAGCCGCTGTATGTGAATATAAAGTGACCCCATTTTCTTTTTTTTTGTCAGTACAGATGGCTGAGCACATTTTTAGGATTATTTATATGCTTGACTAGGAGAATAACCCTGATCCATTTCACTTTAAGAAAAAACGTCAGCACAGCAATGGTTCCTATAGGTTTTGACTGGTTGAAGCCAGTTTTGAAACCAATTTGAGAGGAAGGATAGGAAGGTGTTGCATTTTTCAAATCATCTAACATGGTATTCATTATTCAAACCCTTAAACTAAATTATTGGTTGCGTTTCAGAGCCCATGCACAGAGTTGCCGTAGTTCTGTTATAGCTGGTGCAAAACCTCTTGGACTTCTTGCATTTTCTCCGATTTATCGATAACATTAAGCAAGTTGAAGAAAGGTTTGAAGATCTTCATCAAACTGACACTTTTTAGCCAGGTTTCAACCCAAATACCACTAAATTGTTCACCAAATCTTCAAAGAAAAAGCAATTAAATGTGTGCTACCATTCCCTTCCATCCCCTAGTCTTATGTGAATACTGGGAATTTGTTAAACTTCTGCATTTGTTCGTGTCTAAATGGTTTCCCTCAACTGTCAAAACTCTTGCAAGTCCTCAGGAAGCCAATTTTCGCAAGAGTTTCCCCCAAAAAGTTTTACAAACACGGAGTTAAAATCGAGACACGATCCTGCTTCTGCTGCGATCACATCTCAAAATGTCCACTGTGAAAAGACCCAATTAAAATGTCCATACTCGATTTCATGCAGCCTCCTCAATGGAATATTAATGTGTGTATGTTACGGAGAGAAAATGGCAGATATAATCAGCCTCAGTGTGTTGGTTGTTGGCCTTTCTCTATCCCCCCTGGAGAAGAGGTACTAAATAACCGTGTTTACCTGCCGTAACTCACCTCTCTCCTTATTGACTTCACATTAAACGCTCTGCTGCGCTCTCATCCTGACCTCTCATCCTGACCTTTCCTCTCCTGCAGGAATCGGGGGGAACCTGGTAGCGATCCAGGCCAGCAGGTTCTCCACTCACCTGCACTTCCACTGTGCTCCTGGAGAGGTTCCTGAAGAGGCCAAGGGCTGCTACTACCCCTGCCGCACCTTCTGGGGAAAAGGTCAGTACCGTGCACACAATATGCTGAGCTTTTAATGAAAGCACACGTTGGTTAGGCATAACAGTATAACTCCATATGATAGATGTGAGGTCCTTACAGTATATACATTTGTAATACTGATCAGCTGATTGCTAATGATTAACCTTCACCCATTGTTACAAGAACATTTTGGAAACCTCTCCATAACTCTAGTTCTGTTTCTGCCATCATGTTTGCTTCCTGGATGGTTACCCACATTTATTTAATATTTATTTTAATGCTGTCAAAATTATCGCGTTAATGGCGGTAATTAATTTTTTGAATTAATTGCGTTAAAATATTTAACGCATTTAACGTATGTGCAGAATGGCCCGCCCCATACACCCCACCAGTGGCAGCGCCAGGATATGGCTGGGGTAGGCTACACCCATACCAAGAAATGGCTTAGCCCCACCATGAACAATGATGTTAAAGTAAGCAAAATAAAGTCCGCCAACTCGCGCCGAGAATTGCACAGACAGCAGTTAGTAAGATTGATTTCAGTAGCCACTTGTCTGGAAATACAGAAGACTAGAAACGGTTTTGAAAACTTTTGTCACGTAGTGATCGTCTT